CATGAGATATCCCACTTGCCTCGGCTCGAATAACATCTTTAGTTAGATGCCATAAGAAACCAATGTATGAAAATAATTCTTTTTAATATTCAATACAACTTACATGAATTACAAAGTTAAATGAATGAAGGTGTATTTTAAGAATCTAATGAATGCCAAATCTAAATTATTAAAATCCATAAGTCGAATCACAAAATAAATGTTCTATTGGAATTCTAGAAGAAACAAAATATATAAATTAAAATATAAAGTAATTGATATATTCTATATGTAATGTAATATAAATTACATGAATAACCAATATTATTTCAAATAACATAATTCAATATGAATCAACTAAAATAAAAAAGAAAACAATAAGAAGAAACACAACATGTTAAACGATAAAGAAAGTATATATATTTAAATATGCAAATTTTAGCCTATACAAATTTGCAAATTTTATATCATGTCCAAATATGCAAATTTTAGCCTATACAAATTTAAATTTTATTATCTCAAATATTTAGTTGTGCTTTCATCAAATAACTTTGTGTGCAAACTAAGTATAATTTTAAATTTTTCATCACAAATCAATTCCTATTAGCTCTTGATCATTACATAACATAAGAAATATCACTATTAAAACAAACATTAATTAACAATCATCTTAAAAATTTGTAAAATAAAATTAGAATAAGCAATAATTTGTGTATGTTTTTTTTATTAAAAATGCTCAAACCACTTCTACTTTTGAGATGAAAATTAATAAATTATTGAGTTTCTTCCTAAAAGCATATAAATTAAATTGGGCTAGACTAATATTTAATGGGACTACAAATAAAATAAGCTATACTAAACTAAAGAAGAAAAAAAAGTACATGGGGCTGGAGCCCACCCTTGTCCAAGGGTGGCTCCGCCCATGCTGGGGACAAAATCGACACAGATTTGGAGCCGGTCCGACGACTGTGAGGTCGGCCCCGACAGTTACAACCGTGGTTGATCGAGGTTAGTCGAACCCCTGTTGTTTTGATTTGAAGTCCGGTCTGTGCCATGTGAAACTGGCCGGAAGTGGAGAGGCCGGATTTTCCGTCTCATGCGACTCTGTTCGGCAATTGTGAGGTCAGAGATCCGGTTGTGAAATCGAGTTCGGCATTTGCAAGATCAGCCTGGCGGCTTTGTGTTGGTCTCGGGCTGAAGTCGGAGAGGCCGAAGTGATTTCGGAGAAGATGATGTCGAGTCTGGTTGGGTGATGCAGCTCGGTGGTAGGTGACGAGGTCGGCTGCCCGGCGTTGGTCCCGCACCAAGGTCGGCGTCGGCTTGCGAGGTCGGGTCCCGGTGGCTAAGCGGAGGTCTCGGCTGTGAGGTAGGCACCGGTGGAGGTCGGTTCTCGCGAGGTCGGGTCCCGGTGGCTGTGACGTTGGGTTCCAGACTGCTTTTTTTTGAAGACCGGAGGTGGTTAGGTAAGATCTCGTGCTGTCTTTGTTGTCCGGAGGCGGCGAGAATGCGAGTTTAGCCCGGCAGTTTGAGGTCGGTCCCGT